CCGCACAGCGGCCCATGATATAGGCAGTATGTTATTACCGGCAAAGACAAGGGAGACTGGAATGGCCACTTCTGGCTTATCAGCCAGTCATACCCAACCCCGCAGTGTGACACACCCGAGGCTCGAAATCGCGACCTGTTAGTTAGAAGTCCACGCCTCTAACCACTTAGCCACGAGCCCGTTGCCCTGTCGGTTTCCGATCAGGAATATACAAAGGTAGGGGACGCGCACCGATCGTTCTTACGGAACTCACTTCTAACTAACAGATCGCCAGTTCGAGCCTCGGCTGTTCCACACTTCGGGGTTGGGTATGACTGGCTGACGACGGTTTATAAGCCAGAAATGGTCACTTCAGTCTCCCTTGTCTCTGTCGGTAATAGCACACTACTGGAGACAATGTTGCATTGTTTAGAAATACCCATTTTTTGAAAAACGGAGAATTCTGAAAACGTCGGAAAAGGTTGTAGTTGTGTAAACTTTAAATGCTCGGAAAGCCTGACCATGCAATTAACTGAGTAAATAAGACAACAGCGAAGGAATACCGTTCGAAAATGGTCCTTTTTGAAGTCTACACTTCAATGCCCCTCAAGATTAAATGTCATTTCGAGTATGGCAGTTGGGCAACAGCCTACATTCTGAGTATTGATTTTAGAGCCATTTCCCGATAATTAATGGTATTTTTGCACATTTGCATTGATTTAAATGCGGATCCATTAGGCAACCAGAATTCTGCTTGAGTTGCCCGATAGTGAAATCATGGGAAGTCACCTGTTGCCAGGCCGGTCGACGTATAATCAAGTTAAATAGAATTGACAGATTTAATGCTTGTCCTAGCAAGCTTCGGTGACATAAAAGCTCCTGCGAGTTCAAATGGTCAGATGCTCTAGGGACATCTGTCCATTCAGTGAAGATTCATGGAAATCCAACGACGTTTTAAGGCTTTCCTGGGTTTCTGGAGAAGGTATGGACATCAATTCGGTTTTTCCAAACTTATGGCAACCTAGTTTACACTTTCATTGGGTTTTGAAATCTCCTCGGCTCCAGTGAACTCAGTGGTTTTCATGACAAGTGTCTGAGATACGTCTGCGGAGTGTGAACTGTAAATATTTCACTGGAATAACATACAGGCCCAGCGTTCATCTGCTGCTTAAACATAACTGCGATGGAGGTACCCAAATTAATTCACCTGTCGTCAGACCATTTAAATTAGTCACCATATTTGGAAAGTCACATTCACATGCCAAGTTAGACTATGCATTCTTTGCATATGTGTTCAAACTTCAGAGCTGAGTAACAACTTGGTACTAATTTTGGGGATAAGGGGAAAGTGTATGCTTGTAAATCTCTGCATAAATCATTAATTCTGCTGAAATAATTGCATAACAAACATATATGGAAGAACTTAAT